TAGAACCACTCACATTTTGGACCACCATGGCCATGCAGTTGTGGGTTTGAGTTGTCAGAACTCCTGATTCAGCCCACAGTTTCACAGTGGGCTGCCTTCCCGACTACAGTCGTCCATGCCTTCCCGACTACAGTCGTCCCTTGGTATCCGAGGGGGATTGGTTCCAGGACTTCCCGCAGATACCAAAATCCGCGGATGCTCAAGTCCCTTATAAAAAACAATGTAGTATTTGCATATAACATACGCACATCCTCCCATATACTTTAAATCATCTCTAGATTACTTATAATACCTAATACAATGTAAATGCCACGTAAATAGTTGCCAGTATGTGGCAAATTCATGTTTTGCTTTTTAGGACTTTCTGAAAAAAAAATTTTTTTTTCTAATATTTTCAGTCCGAGGTTGGTTAAATCCTTGGATATGGAGGACTGACTGTACTTTGTGACAATATTGTGCCCAAACATTTATGTGTTGATTTATTCTAAATTACTTTCATTTTACTTTCTTTTATATTACAATTAAGGTATTATTTATGTTTAAAAATATGTGTGTCAATAGGTTATGTTATTTGCAAATTTCATTTTAGAAAAGAAAAGAAGCGTTATAATTATGGTTAAAAGGAACACTGGGTTCCGAATTCAACCCACTGTTATACTGCATGACAATCATGGCAGCAGCAAGCACTGAGGAGTGCCGGCCCCTCAAAAGTTACTGTGCTAGGAAGGCGACTTGCAAGTATGAATCATTACATCTGCAGTTCCCCTACCAGGTGCTACACAGTGTGTAGTTTTACCTACACAGAGGGAGAAACTGAGGTTCAAGCAGAATAAGGTCCCTGAGTGGGACTGGAAACTGAATCCAAACCCATGCTTCTAAACCCCCGCATCCAGCGGTGGATTTCCTTGGTCTCCTGGAAAGACCATGTTGTGCGAGCTAACCATCCTCAGGCCTTAAGGCCCCAGGAAAGGGTAGAGGCACATGGGGCAGCAGAGAGGTCAAGAGAACAGGTTACGACCTGGGTTCTGTGTCACTTACTCATGTGTGACCCTGGACAGTCGCTCCCCCTCTCTGAGGATTAGTGGTCTCACCTGTAAAATGGGGGTAATGTCACCAAAGTGTGGTAGGTACTGTCCCTTTCCATGTTACCAATGTGGAAACTATGGCTCATAGAGGGGAAGTGACCTACCCAGTGTGAAATGAGGGATGGGATTGTCCTCTAAGGACACACTCCATTGCCCCGTAAGGTCCCCATGGCTCCTCCAAAGCCCAATTCAAGACTCACAGGTCACCAGGCAAAGGTCAGGGTCACCTGCCCTAGGCACCCATTCCCCAATCCAACCACCCACATGTGATTCCCACAAGGTAAAAGTATCTGAAAGCCCCCAATGGGCTGGGAGAGCTGGGGGGCTATCTGTGGAAGCACCGGACCTCCGTTTCCCTGTGCTGGACTCCAGCTCCAAAACACAGCCCAAATCAATCCATTCCTCTCCGTCTCCCCTACTGCTTCTACTCAAGTCTATGACACCATCACTTCTCACACAGCCCACCCCCTGCTCCCCTCCTCCTTGCTCCCCACCTAGGAGCCAAGGAGATCTTTTATGAGTGAAAAATCATATAAAGTCACCCCCTTGCTTAAACCTTCCATGGCTCCCTATCGTTCTTAAGCCAAATGCCTCTGCCCACCTCCCTCATCTCATTTCTCCCAATGTTCCCTCCACTCTCCCACCCGCCTCATGTACGTTCAGGTCCCATTGGCCTCCTCCACATGCCTTTAATGCAACAGCATGATCCTCTCTTAGGATCTGTGGCCAAGCTGCTCCTCCTCCTTGGTCAGCCCAGTCACGGCCCCCTCCCTGCCTTCACTGGGCAAACTCTTCCTCCCTCCCTAATCTAAGACAGCTTTTCCTGCTATGCATGTTCATACACCACTCACTCATAGCCTAGCAATAAGCCCAGTTTGTGATGGTAGATTTATCTGGTTATCTTCTCCCCGCTTGACTTAGGTCCACCAGGTCAAGGACTCTGACTTGTTTCCCTTCTGTACTGAGAACCTAGAAGTGTCTGCCCAGAGTTGGCACTTGGGAAAACCTGCTGAATGGCAGAGTGCAGGCATGAATGGCCACCCAAAGATAGAGTTGCCCATCTCCTCCGCCATGTGGACTAAGACACCCAGGACAACTTGAAGAAGAATGTGGGGGAGGAGAGAGAATCTGGGGATGGAAGGCAGAGGAAATCCCAGGCACAGCTCAGTCTGCTGTTCAGCATGAGCCTACGTGTGCCAGATGCCATGCTGTGCGCTGGGGACAGTATGTATGCTGGGTTAGTGAGAGAACAAGCTCTGAGCCGCAATGCCTGGGCTCAGAGCCCAACTCACTGCTCACTAGCTGTGCAAGTTTGGGCAAGTCACTAAACCTCTCTGAACCTTGGTGTCCCCAACTACCAAAGAGGAGAAGTTACTTGATTACAGAAAACCCATGCCTTAGGGCATTAGAACTTAATACGCCCTTGACACTCCAGTGGACCCAGCAGTTCTATTTGGTTACTATTGCTGAATCACAACCACTCCAATCTTTAGTGGCTTAAAACAACCATTTTTTCCTCACTATCATGTGAATCAGGAGTTTGAAAGGATCAGCTGGACAGCTCTTGCTTGGTTGCAGTCAGATGTTGGCAGGGGCCATGCTTATCTGAAGGCTCAATGGCTGGCTGTCGGCTGGAAGCGCCAACAGGTGGCTTTTCTACCATGGTGGCCCAGGGAAGGCAATGTGTCACATTCGTTACCTGCACCCCTTCATTTATCTCAATTTCTAGCAGCCAGCTCAATGACAGTTGCCTCCTATCTTTCTAGCTCACTCTATCCAGTACCCCAATACCAACGACCCTTCGGCCCTACTGGGAGCTCTGATCCGTTGAGCCTATCACCTTTTCCCTTGTGTCCTCATTTGTCTTCTTGCTGAGTAAAGCCACAGGGCAGCATCATTCCCATGCACTGCACACCCGAGATGGCCCTGCCCCTCTCTGGCTAAACACCCACCAGTTGACACCCTCTGTCCCTCTGTGCTTGTTCTCCTGCAGTAGAATGTGGCTAGGGATCAACACAGCACCACGTGGGCTCGTCTGACTTTACTTACATGATGGCTAGTCTCAATGAGGTCTTTAGCTCTGCCTGACAATTACGCTAGAGTTCCCTGTCCATTAATTCTCCTCAGGCAATTCCTTCCTCTTTTCTCCTCAAACCTCTATTACCTTCTCCTCCGTTCTCATTCTTAGCTGAGGACCCTGCTTCCTATTCCACAGGGAAAACTGTAGCAATTAGAAAATACTTCCACAAACTTCCACTACACAGCTACCTGCCTACCCTCATTGGTACCCACTTATAAATACTCTGCCTTCTCTTCTGTGACCAGGGACCAACTACCTGTGCTCCAAGCCATGGTCAACCCTCCACTGTGTACAGATCCCACCATCTTCCTCCCTTCCAGCCACTCTCTTCTCCCTCTTGCATCATCATCATTTCCAATCTACTGAATCATTCTCATCACCATAAAAACATGCTAGTATTTCTGCATTTGAGTAACTTCTCTTGACCCCAGTTTGCTTTCCACCTACCACCCCATCCTCAGCCCCACAGCAAAACTCCTCAAAAATTGTCCATACCACTGCCTCCATGTCTCTCCTTCCATTACAGAACAGGTACATAAATAGTACAAAGAATAACCAAATACCAGTCACCCAGACTTTACCACCTTTGCTGTATCATTCTCTCTCTCTCTTCCTCCTTTTCCTGAACTCTTTTACAGTAAGTTGCAGACATGATTCCCTTTACCCATAAAAACAAGTGTGTATTTCCTAAAAGCAAGGACATTCTCTTACAATAATCAAGATCATAATTTTTACATCGATACAATTATCTAATCTACAGACCTTAATCAAATTTCACCAGTTGTCCCACTAATATCCTCTACAGTTAAGTGAAAATTTTTTCCTGGTCCAGGATCTCACATCACATTCTAGTTCTTGTATCTCTTTAGTCTCCTTAATCTAAAACTGCTCCTTAGTCTTTCTTTCTTTCATGAGCTCAACATTTCTGAAGAGTACAAGCCAGTCATTCCGCAGAAACATCCCTCAATTTGGGTTTGTCTAATGTTTCCTCATGAATCAGTTATACATTTTTGGCAGAAACACCACTGAAAGGATGCTATGATCCCCTCAGTGCATCACATGAGGCGGGGCATGAGGTCAATTTGCCCCATTACTGGCAATGCTCACTTCATCACTTGGTTGATGTGGTTGGTGTCTGCTGGGTTTCTCCACTGTAAAGTTACTATTTTACTCTTTGTAATTAATAAGTATCTTGTGAGGAGATACTCTAAGACTATGCAGAGATCCTGTTTCTTGTCAAACTTTAATCCACTATTGCAGCATCCATTAATGATTCTCTCCTGAAACAATTATTACTAGGGTGGCTGCCAAATGGTAAATTTCTAATTCCTCTTTTTCTGTATTTATTAGTTGTCCTTTTACTGTTAAGAGCTTTCCTTTCCCCTTATGTGTGTATGTATGTATTTATATCTTAATCTTTATATACTCTCTCTTAATCCCACTCCAATCAGGCTTTTGCTCCCATCATTCTACCTAAACTCTTTCCTGTCAAAGTAACAATGCCCTCCACTTGGCTGAATCAGTTCTTGGTCCTCATCTCATCTTCCCTTACCTCTCAGCAGCACTTGACATAGGTCAGCAATTCTCCCCCCTTGAAATGTTTTCCTTCCTTGGTTCCCAGGCCACTTCCTTGTCTCTTAACGTTGGGGGCTGGGGTCTCAGTCCTTTGTCCTGCCCTCTTCTTTGTCTATGCTCACTCTGTTGGAGATCTCACCCAGACTCATGGCTTTAGAAACCATTTCCACAGTGATGACTCTTATATTAATCTACTCTGCCATAACAAGATACCACAGACTGGGTGGCTTAAAAACAGAAATGTATTTTTTATTTCTCACAGTTCTGGAGGTTGAAAGTCCAAGATAAAGGTGCCAGCAGGGTTGGTTTCTGGTGAGAATTCTCTTCCTGGTTTGCCACCTTCTTCGTGTGTCCTCACATGTCCTTTCTTCTGTGCAAATACACACACACACATACACACAGGGAAAAAGAAAGAGATGGGGGGCACTCAGATGTCTCTTCCTCTTCTTATAAGGATTATCGGATTAAGGTCCCACCCTTGTGACCTCATTTAATCTTAATTACCTCCTTATAGGCCCTATCTCCAAACACAGTCATATTGAGGGATTAGAGTTCCAACATATAAATTTTGGGGAGACACAATTCAGTCCATAACAACTCCCAAAATTACAACTCCAGCTTGGGCTCAGATTCATACACGCAACTTCTAACTAGGCAACTCCACTTGGAAGTCTGATAGGTGCCTCAAATTTAACAAGTTCCAAATGGAACTGGTAATTCTCCCCTCCTTTCCCCTGAAACAAAGTTCTCCTCCTATAGCCTTCCTCATCTCAGTGAATGGCAAATTCCTTCTTTCATTCTTCTGGGCAACAACCTTGGAGTCATTCTCGATTCCTTTCTTTCTCAAACACTCCATATTCAATCTGTCCCTTTGGCTTTACTTTCAAAATAACCCCAAAGTCTAACCTTGGTTCAAACCATCACCATCTTTTGTCTGTATTGTGGCGGTAGCCTCTTACCTGGTCTTCCTGCTTCAGCCCTCATTTATATTCCATTTATTCTACACCCAGCAGTTACAGAGATCCTGTAAAAATGCAAAGCAGGTCCTGTCCTCTTTCTGGTCAAAACCCTCCAATACGGCCCACCTCACTCATAGCAGAAGCCAAAGTCCTTACAATGACCCACAAACTGTACATGAACTAGTCCCAGGGGAATCTCCCTGATGTCATATTCAGCTCAGCTACCCTATCTACTGGCTGTTCCTTAAACCCACCAGGCATGAGTCCACTTTACGGTCTTTGCCCACCCTCTACTAGGAACAATCTTCTCCCATATACCCTCATGACTCCCTGCCTCACCTCTTCCAGGTGTTTCTTCAAGAATCACCTTCCCAGCAAGGCTTTCATTGACCACCTATTTGAATTTACACCACAGCATCCCCTTCTCCCTTCCCTGCTTCATCTTCCTCCACAGCGCTCATCACCATCTGACAAAGCATAACAACTCTCCACATGTCAGATGTGACACCATCTGACACATCTCTCCACAAAACGTGAGACCTGTGAGAACAGGGACTGTTTTGTTCACAGTTGCACCCCCAATAATAATCACTCACATTGATTGTACCCTTGCTCTATGTCAGCATTTTTTTTTTTTTTTTGGCGGTACGCGGGTCTCCCACTGCTGCGGCCTCCCCCGCCGCAGAGCACAGGCTCCGGACACACAGGCTCAGGGGCCATGGCTCACGGGCCCAGCCGCTCCGCGGCATGTGGGATCCCCCCGGCCCGGGGCACGAACCCGCGTCCCCCGCACTGGCAGGCGGACTCCCAACCACTGCGCCACCAGGGAAGCCCCCAGCATATTTTTAAGGGCTTTACCGTATCACTTATTTAATCCCAACAAAGACCCTATGAGATGGGTGTATCATAATAATAATGTTACATAACAAACCACCCCAAATGTCTGTGCCTTACAGCAGCAAATATTGATTTCTCCCTGTCCCTCCCCCAAACCATTTGGGGTTTGGCTGATCTTGCCTGGGTTCTGCTGGGTTTGGCTACTCCATGTGTCTCTCATTCTTCTGGACCAGACTGTTTGATGTTGGGGATTTGGATGGAAGCTATTGCTTCCCTAAATTGACACAGAGCACTCTATTCCTCTTTAGCTTCCTGACATTCAAAAGAGAGAGAGTTCATGAAAAAAAATACAATTTAAAATTTAATACAGGGAATTCCCTGGCAGTCCAGTGGTTTGGACTCTGCGCTCTCACTGCCAGGGGCCCAGGTTCGATCCCTGGTTGGGGAACTAAGATCCTGCAAGCCATGTGGTGCAGCTGGCCAAAATAATAATAATAATAATACAAACTAAACACTAAACTACAAAACTATTTTTATCCCAGACTTTGCTATGGCAACTTCGATAGGAACTCTGTTTCAAAAGATGGAATGCACTAATGACAGCCCCATCCTTAAGGCAGAGGTGGAAATTCCAAGGGGGCAACTGAAAACATGAGAGATCTCTTAAGGCCTCGGCTGAACTTGCACACTGTCACTTTCATCCACATTCCACTGGCCAAAGCAAATCACGTGGCTGTATCTAATATCAACAGAGTAGGGAGTATCAATCAGTCCTGACTGCAGGAGAGACTGAGTCATTGAATAGTAATCTAATTTGCTGCAAGATAGGTCATGCTGCACCCTAATGTTCACAGTGGCACTATTTACAATAGCCAAGAAATGGAAGCAGCCTAACACTTAGGCAGCCTAACACTTAGGCTGCTTCCATTTCTTGGCTATTGTAAATAGTATGTGTGTGTGTGTGTGTGTGTGTGTGTACACACACACACACACACACAATGGAATATTACTCCGCCATAAAAGAATGAAATATTGCCATCTGAAGCAACATGAATGGATCTAGAGATTATCATACTAACTGAAGTAAGTTAGAGAAAGATAAATATATGATATCACTTATATGTGGAAACTAAAAAATAAAACATATGAACTTATTTACAAAACAGAAACAGATCCACAGACATAGAAAATAAACTTATGGTTATCAAAGGAGAAGTGGGGAGGGATAAATTAGGAGTATGGGATTAACAGATGCACACTACCATATATAAAATAGATAAACAACAGGGATTTACTGTATAGCACAGGGAACTATATTCAGTATCAATATCCTCTCCCCTTTCTTTTTTCTTTCTCTTTCTTTTTCTCTCTCTCCCTCTCTGTTTTTCTTAACAGGTAAGGAAACTAAGGCTCAGAGAGGTCAAATACAATAACTTCTCCAAGATTATACTGCTAGTAAATGACAGAGCTGGAATCCAACCAAGTTGGAGTCAACTTTACACATGCCATATACACAAGGCCAAGAGGTTTGGACTTTCTCTGAAGGTGATGCAATGCCACTGAAAACTCTTGAGCAAGAAAGGTACATGGTGGTTAATAAACTTTCCTCCAGTAGCAGTGTGCAGAGCACACGGGAGGGGGAGAAAGGAGGGGGCCCCTACAGTAGTCAGAAAACTTCAGGCCAGAATTGAAAAGGGGCTGGGCTGGGGTAGTGTCAAAATGAAAAACACACAAAAAAACAGTAAATGTAAAAACCAAATAGACAGAAGTGAGAGACAAGTTGAAGAACATTTTAAAAATGCTTTTTTCTTTGTTCAGTGTTGAAATAAAAATTCATGTGTGTTGCAAAAAGAAAAAATCAAACAAAAAATTCACACAGGGCAGACAGAAGTGTTTAAAGTTCTCTTCTCTTCCTGTCTCCTGAGATAAGCTCCATTAAGAGTTTGTGGGGCCTTCACTGGTGGTCCAGTGGCTAAGACTCCATACTCCCAGGTTCGATCCCTGGTCAAGGAACTAGATTCCCACATGCCACAACTAAGAGTTCACGTGTCGCAACTAAAGATCCCACACGCCGCAACGAAGATCTGATGCAGCCAAATAAATAAATATTAAAAAAAAAAGTTTGTGGTAAATCCTTCCTGAACTTTGTCTAAAACTATATAATACATTTACATATACCCATTTTTAAGTGTGTTTTTAAAATGTGTTCTCACCAAACTTTTGTTTTGTCTCTTGCTTTTTCTCACATAATAGTATGGCAAGGCCAGCTTTCCATGTCCAGAAATGAAATGATCCTCATCACTTTTAACAGCTTTGCCACTTACTAGCTGTGTGACTTTGCACACATGGTTTAACCTCTCTGAGACTTGGTGTGCTTAATCTGTAGATGGGGATAAACATGTAACTGTCACATAGGGCTATTGTGAGGATTAAATGAGTTAACACACGTAAAGCATCTTGTATAGTGTCTGACACATACTAAGTGCTCTCCCTGTTAATAGCACCACGTTTAGCTGTACCATAACTTACTTAACCAGTTCTGTACCCATGGTCACTTAGTGTACTATGTTGTTTACAAAGATGGCCACAATGATCCCCCCACCCCCACACGACTCTTTGCAATATGACTTTGATGTTTTTTCCATCAAGAGATGGAGTCTATTTCTAGTCTCCTTGAATCTGAGCTGGCCATGTGACAGGCTTTGATCAATAAAATGCAGTGAAAGTGATGCTACAGCTCTTCCGAGCCTAGGCCTCAAGAGGCCTTGCTGCTTTCGTTCTTTTCCTTTCAGATGCCATCATGAGGAAGCCTGAGCTAGCTTGTTGAAGAAGCCACATGGAGAAGAACCTAGGCACTCAAGCCAGCAGGCCCAGCCACCTGCCAGACCTGTGAATGAGGCCATATAGGACCAGTGAGCTTGCCGACTTGCTAACTGACTGCAAATACAGAAGCAAGCCTGGGCAAGACCATGTACAGCAGAAAAGAGCTGTCTCAGCTGAGACATGTCCAAGTTGCCAATCCACACAAACATAACCAAAAATTTATTGTCGTTTTAAACCACTCTGTTTTGGGGTGATTTGTTGAGCAACAATAGAAAGCTGATATGCTGAGGCTCTTCTTACGTAGTGCCTATGGCCCTGGTTGGAATGCAAGCTCCATCTCTTGTATGTGACCTTGGGCATGTCCTGTGATCTGACTGAACCTCAGTTTCCTTGTCTGTACAGTGGGATACTTTTAGTTCCTACCTCATCCGGCTGACATGAGGATTAAATGAGATGATGAACATTCAATGTGTGGCACAGGACAAGTACTGTGAACATCTTAACTGTGGTTGTGGCTGTTGTTATTGTTGTTTGAAGGAAGTCTAGCCTGAGAGTTGTGCTATGGGGGTCAGGAAGTTAGTATTAAAGATAACTGAGCTGGTCTTTGGAGGCTCCATAACTAATGAACACTGGAGACTGATAGCTTTTTGGAACCAGAGACCTATACCAGGCTAGCCTGAGAAAAGGCAGGGGCTGGGTCTCAACTGTGTCCTACAAAGTGCAAAGGGTTGTATGTCTGTGCCTGGGTGAGCCCTCTGAATGATGTCAGGGATGGAGGATGGAATTGGGTAGAAGAATGAAGAACTGAGGCTGTAGGAGGGGCCAAGATCATAGGAAAGATCATTCACTCTTTTCAGATGAAATTCCAGACTCCTAATCATGGCCTGAATGCCTTGGCCACCTCTCCCACCATATTTCCTACCCTTCTTCCCTTCACTCACAGTGCTTCAGCCCCCCATGGCCTCCTTCCTCAAACTTATCAAGCTCTTTCCTGCCTCAGGACCTTTGTTCTTACTGTTTTTTCTCAGAGGGAACTTCTGAACCACTCAAGCTAAAGTTCTCCCCTCTTTCATGCTTTTTCACAGCTACTTATATTTTTCCTTCACAGTACTTATTCATTTTTTTATCTGTGCATTATTTGTTTATCACTTTAGGTGAATTTCATGAGAAACTGTTATCTGTCTTGCTCATGCCACATCCCCAGCATCTAGCACACTGTCTGGCTCATGGCAAGTGATCAACAGCTGTGAATTGAATAAATGTGAATAAGGATAGGGGAAAAGGAGCCATAAGAGCTGAAAAGACATTATCCAAAAGCTAAGTGAAGGCCTCATTTCCTGGAAGACGGCCTCACAGAAACCTTGAAATCATCTTGTCTAACCTTCTCAGTCCACAAGTGGGGAAACCAAGACCCATAATGGAGAAATAACCAGCCTATGGGCACCCAGAGAGCCATTTCTGTGTACTCTCAGCCCATTGGGGTCAAATGCCACAGACATGTCTGACAGATGAGGCTCAGAAAAGGTCATGGCCACCTCCCTGAGTCCATCACTATATGTCTGCAGCTGCCACCACCTCATCCTACAGGGGAGGAGATTGTCTCTTTGGGAGCAGAGGTGCCAGTCAGCTGATGAACTGTGAAAAGGAGGGCTGGAGAGGGTGGGGAGGCCCATCCTGGGTAGCTGCTATTCTGAGGCAGCTCAGGGATAAAAGCAGGTACCAAAATAACCCAACCTTCTAACACTTGTTCCAGACCTCACACCTCTGCCCTACCAGAGGTGAGGCTAACACTTTAATTCCTCTCGGTAACACACACACAAGCTCTTAGCAGGGCCTGCAGGGAACAGGGTGATCATCAGACTCAGCCCTGTCCACTGGGGGCTCACAGTCTGATGGAACAGGCAGGCTAGGGACCAGTCAGGTTGCTGAGGGATGGTGCCTAGGTCTGAGGGAACTAAAGGTACGGAAGATCCCGAGAGGAAAGGATTAGCCCGATGGACATACAGAAGTTAGCCAGTCCAGGAGGTGACAGTAACAGATGTAACTGCCAGTGCAAAGAGAGGGAGGCTGACAAGTTCCAAGAATAGTCTGCAGTTTTAGTGGGTGGGAGCATCATGAAACTGAAATGAGAGGGGCAGAAGAGGCGGCTTGGGGGCGAAGGAAGTGTCCAAATTATGCAGGAACTTGGATGTCAAGAGAAGAGCTTGGGCTATCTTTGGTGCACAAAGGAAAGACTTGGGAGATTTTAACCAAGAGGACGTCATGATCAGTTTTGCAAGACAGAAACTTCCCTATAGCTGCCCTGGAGCCGTTGCCCAGGCAAGCGGGGTGGAGGGAGGCAGATCGAAGGGGGAAAACAGTTTATTCTAGATGGGCAGCTCTGCAAAGTGCTCCTGTAAGAGGCATGAATTGGGTCTCAGTCTCTAGAGGGCTAGTACCGTCACTTCCTCGACTGCTGCGCCACACCACTCCCGGGGTCCAACTTTCGTTCACTTGTTCCGGAACTCGAAGTCTGAGCAGAAAAAAACGTGCTGCTGGAACCCCAACCCTAGACGAGGGGCCTGAGCAGCAGACTTCAACTCCCAAAACGCTTCGCTCTCCAGCTCTGAAGGTCGCGCATGCTTCTTTCCAAATAAGGCGGGCCGGCTTGCCGACTGGTAGAACTCGCCAGCTGGGTGAAGTGCGGGAAACCTACGGACCGCCATCTTACCTTGGGTCAAACCAATTATACACTTAGTGGGAGGTTCGTGTTCTCTCTCTCGTAAGTTCGTACAGGTACTGAAATAAAATGCGCTTAATTACTGCAAGTCTCCTTATTATGCTTTACGTTGAGAACTTGTTCCATTTTGCGCCCCAGTCCGGAACTGAACTCCAAGGGATACAATGACACATCCCAGCATGGCACCGCACTCTGCGAGATTCCGCTGGGGGAGGAGTCGGAAGCGGTCCCGCCCCGCCTCCCGGTCGGAGGGGGGTTTCCGCTTCCGGCAGCGGCGGCTGCAGCCTCGCTCTGGTCCCTGCGGCTGGCGGCCGAGCCGTGTGTCTCCTGCTCCGCCGCCGCCATATTGTCTGTGTGAAGAGTGGGGAGAGCGGCCGCCGCCGCTGCAGCTTCCACCACAGGTACCGTGGGAGCCATCAGGCGAGGTCGTTGGGGGCTGCGGGTGGGCCCAGGATGGGGCAGCGGGGCGCGGCCGCCTCTAACGCTTCCAGCAGACTCCCGAGCGGCCCTTCGCCTTCCCCTGCCCCCCCACCACACACACACTAGCCGAGGCTCCTGCAGCCCATCGGGGAGGCCCTGGGCTAACCCCCAGGGCGGGGAGTGAGGCTTGGGGGCAGAGGCTGATAGGAGGGTGGGAACTGGCTCTCGAGAGTCCAGCTTGTTGCGGGGGAGAGGGCTGGGCTGGGGCGGGGACTAGGGGGCAAGTTGGAGGAGGAGGTCGGCAGAGGGGGAAGCGAGCTGGAGGGGTGGGGCCGCCGGGGGGGGATGCTGGGGGAGGGTGCCTAGGGGAGTGGTGCCCGCAGTGTAGGCTGGGGTGGACCCTCCCGCGGAGCAGAGCAGCTGTAGTGGGGGCCTTCTAAGGTCCCTCTAGGCGAAATTGGGCTTCCCACCTGCACCCTGGGGTGCAAGGTGAAGGGGACCCGGGGCGAGGTCGCTGAGGATAAAGGGGAAGGGACCATGAAGTGGGGCAGAACGGGTGGAGTTGGAGTTAAGGGTTAGTTGGGAGCCTGGATGGAAGAGGAGAGGTATGTAGAATGAAAGGTTGGCTAAGAGTGTGCATGTTAGTTTGTGACCTTTGAAGAGTAGGACTTTTGTTTTTGTTTTTCGGTGGTTTATATTTTTGCAGCGTTGGAACATTTCTAACCTTGGCAGGTGATGGGTGGAGCTTATGTAGTTTGTTTTTGGGAAGGAAGGGTCAGGAGAAGTTGCTTCTTGGCTGTTGCTATTGTGGGAAGGAAAGAGTTCTGGAAAGGAGGTAGCAGATTAATTGAGGAAGACCTGATTACCTTTCAGCTGCTAAATTCTATTGAGAAGTGGGTGTGAGGAGAGGAAATGAAAAGAAAGCTAGAAAGGGAAGATTTTTCTAGGAGTTGGAAGACCCCATTCCATCTAAGAAGTGGCAGTAAATATCTGGATTATCAAATATAAGTGCCACTGTTATTTAGCTGTGTGACCTAACTTCTGTAAACCTCAGTTTTCCTATCTGTAAAATGGGGGTGATAATATTTCCTAGACGGTAAGTTTATGGTGAGGAGCAAATAAGATAATTTGTGTCAAGTGCTTACCACAGTGCCCGGTAGGTAGTAAGTGCTCCATAGACCTTACCTGTCACTTTTATTAAAGGGACTAGCTGGTATATATGGGGTTCCTTCAGTCTAGGTAAAGTTTATGGTCAATAATCTGACAATAGGCAAGGCTTCAGAAAATTATATTTGTAGTTGTTGAGGTGTTTTTCTTTTGTTGTTAAGTCAGTTGGCTTAACTGGCTTGGTGGACCTTGAGCTGAAAGACCAGGACCAATACTAGTTCTGCCTCGTGTCGTTTTTAAAAGTTCACCAGCAGTTTTACCTGGGTAGTTGTATCCTTCTGTGACTTTGAAATACTTGCCTTTCATTTGCTATTGGGGGTGGGTGTATGACTTGAAGAAAGAATGAAAATATTTGAAGTTTGCTTAGATTGGTTTATCAGCTGATTACAAAATTAGGTCACCCTGGGGTAACTTTTGTTTAAATGCAATAACCAAACATGCCTAGTTATATCCTGTTATATGGAATACAGTAGAGAAGAGGAGCACACATTTAAGGGGGAGCAATAGGTTATTTTCTACCTAATGGTTTAATTGCCTAGCTGTTTGGGGATGAAACAAGTAGCTTCTTTTTTACAGTGTATTTTTGGTTCTATTGCTTAGCCACACTCTTCCAGGGTGAGAGTCCTTGATTTTACCATTGTCTCTGTCTCTGAACATATAGCTTTACTTCACATACTCTTTTGGAGAAAGGAGAAGTTTTCTTTGGTAACTAAGTTTAAAACTTGACATAGGATTTGGGTTTGTAGTAGGCAGAATGACCACCACCACCCCCCCCCAAGATGTCCAAACTCTAATTCCCAGAATCTGTAAATATGTTACTTGGTAAAAGGGACTTTGCAGATGTAGTTAAATATCTTAAAATAGGAAGATCATCCTGGATTTAGTGGGTAGGCCCAATCTAATCACATGAGCCCTTAAAAGCAGAGAACTTTCTCCAGCTGGGAGTCGAGAGAGATGGGGCAGAAGGGGAAATCAGAATCGAATCATGAGAGGGACTCCATTTGCTGTTGCTAGAGGGGGCCACATGGAAAGCATGAGAAGGAATGCGGGGAGCCTCTAGTAGCAAAGACCAGCCCCGGCTGACAGCCAGCAAGGAAATGGAGACCTCAGTCCTACAACCACGAGGAACTGAATTTGGCCAACAACCTGAATGAGCTTGAAAGTGGATTCTTCCCCAGTTTCCCGCAAGGATAACACCTTGATTTTGGCCTTGTGAGACCCTAAGCAGAAGACCTAGCCAAGCCCACCCAACTTCTGAACTACAGAAACTGTGAGACAATAAATTTCTATTGTTTTAAAGCCACTACGTTTGTGGTTTTGTTATGGCAGCGATAGAACACTAGTGTAGATTTTGGTACCAAGAGTGGGGTACTGTTACCTAAAAATGTGAAAACGGCAGTAGAAGAGGCCAGCAAATTTTTGAGGAGCATAATAGAAAAGACCTAGAACAGATCATTAGTAGAAGTAGTGAGGGCTGAGGTGGAAGTGAGGTGTGCATTGGAAACTGGAGGAAAGAGGATCTTTGTTACATAGTGGCAAATAAGCTTAGAATTGTGACCTGTGGTCAGGTGGAAAAGAATACTTATAAGTGATGAACTTGGATATTTAGCTGAGATTTCCAAGCGAAGTATTGAAGGTACAGCCTGGTTTATTCGTGGGGTGTGAGTCTCAGTGAGCTCATGTGAAATTCATGTGAAGCCCACTAGGTTCTTGAGCGTTTTATACTAGCAAAAACAGTGCCAGCTTGGATTGAAAAACACAAAGTAGTAAATTAAAGAGAGCTCTCAACCCACCCACCCAACCCCCACCCCCAGTTATACTGGTAGGAAGCAGGCTGGTAAAAAAAACTACTTAGATGTGAATGTGCTCCTTTTCATTAAAAAAGAAGAATGACTCAGAGGGTGGAACCAAGAGCCCGAAGAGGTGGAGTCGAAGGCTGCAGAAGAGTTTACCCTGGCTTTGAAATGGAATGGAGTTTGCCCACATTTTGAAACTGCTTTGGACCGATGGATCTGCTTTTTCTTATATTTTCCCTACTTTCTTTTATATTTTTCCTGTTTGAACTAGAATGTCTATAAGTTGCCTTATGCTGGTCTCACCGTCGTATGTTGGGAACAGATAACTTTTTTTTTTTTTCCCTAGGAATTGTGCTCCAGGGGTTGCACTTAATGTATTACAACCAGAGCTTCATCCACATTTGATTTAGATGGTGAGATTTGGGAGTTTTGAATTGATGAGCTTTAGATGAGATTTTTGGACTTTGAGTTGGACTTTAATGGAATGAGACCTTAGGATAGAATGGATATATTTGCATTTGGGAGAGATATGAGTCGTTGGAGCCCATAGGGTGGACTGTGTTAGGTAGAATGATCCCCCAAAGATATATGTGCCCTAACCTCTGGAATCTGAATTTGTTACTGTTTTGTGGCAAAAGGGACTTTGCAGATGTAACTGTGGTTTAAGGATCCTAAGATAGGAATATTATCCTGGATTTTCTGGGTAGGTCCAGTCTATGCACATGAAAGCAGAGAACTTTATCCAACTGGAGTTAGATTTGAAGCAGGAGAGGGTCTCACCCTGCCATTACTGGAGGGGACCACGTGGAAAGCACAAGAAGGAGTGCTGGCAGCCCCAGCTGACAGCCAGCAAGGAAATGGGAATCTCAGCCGTACATCCGCAAGGAACCACATTCAGCCAACAATCTGAATGAGCTTGAAAGCAGATTCTCCACCCCGGAATTTCCACAAAGGAACACAGCCCTATGGACACCTTGATTTTTGGCCTTGCAGGACCATAAGTAGAGGATCCAGCCAAGCCTACCTCACTTCTAGCCTATAGAAACTGTAAGGTAATAAATTGTGTTGTTTTATGTTTGCGGTAGTTTGTTACAGCAACAATAGAAAACCAATTAGAAAATTTAAAAATTTTAAGAAAAAGAAAACTAATTAGAGGGGTTTTGCTGATTTTATTTAAGAATCTTTGGGGGATTATTTTCTAGAGAAAAAAGGCAGCAAAGATTATTCTGTAGTGATTTGGTTCTGGAAGACTTCACAGAATAATGGTGTTGAGTGGAACCTAGGCCTCTTCCCTAGATGTTTAAGCATCCTGTTACTGTCATTAGATGCAGTTTGAAGGGGCTAAATGACCAGCTCAGTAAAGCGTAGATTCTAGAGCTCTAGGCCATTCTGGTAGAATTTCTATAAATTGATAATTCTTCCATGCCTATAATAAACGTCTTGGATAATTCCTTCATTCATTTTTATCGGCTGAATAAGGCATTGAGTTTATTTGACAACCCTTTATAGACTTAATTCCTGTTTTTTAGAAGAGATGGAAATGAGTGATTATTTTTTATGAATGGATAACCACTACTATATACAGTAGTCTGTCTGGTCTTTCATACCTCCCACCCCAACCCAAAGTTGTTGTAAGGTCTTTTCTCCCTGTCATTGTCATTTGAGGTTAATAAGATTTGGGTGTATAACTAAATCACTTTGCTGTACACCTGAAACTATTACAATATTGTAAATCAACTATACTTCAATTTCTAAAAAAGCCAATACAGTTTAAAAAAAAAGAATAAACTTTGGGGATCATAATTGCAGA